CTCCCTCCCTCCCTCCCTCCCTCCTTCCCTTTCTTTCTCTTTCTCCCGCTTTCTTCCTTTCCTCTCCTTCTCCATCACCTTTCTCTAAATCAATAGAACGAACATTATTCGAAAGTACTTGCGTGTATAAAAGATATCAGTCCGTATAGTTCACGTAGCGAACTTTGGCGAAACAAAATAGTTCATTCCTCTTTTCTTGCTCTACTTATTTTCCTATCTATGTACATAAATCGTCCACACGTCCTCTCAGTATATACTCGGAAGATATGTACCGCATATTACTGCTGCTTAACTGTTTGAATACCGCAAGAGGTCGCAAGAATACATAACCAAAAGTGCTACACAGGGCGGTAGGTCTGATGTTAATGCACTCAGGAAGTAAATTAAGGTGCGCGACACAATAACCAAAACTATTCTCAAGCGCTAAATATAATAGCTATGCATATAACGACGAATCATGAAAAGAGATTGATATTCGAACGATTAAGCATCAATTTATAGGTCACAATTCGCACATTGGTACGATATTATTTAGATCCTGTAAAAATACTTGTCAAATCTATCTTCGCGATAGAGAGATATTACACGATCAGCTCAAGTATCGTCACATTCGATAACGTTACGAATTACAAATCAGTTCACTAGCAAGTGACGCACGAAGAATCTGTTAACCTATTTACATCAAAAGCAGATCTATTCATCTATTCATTTTTGCCTGGTTATATTGGAGTGCGCTGAAAAATTTTTCAAATCACAATTTTTTACTGTAGATGGATCGAATCATAAAAATTACGTATTTCTGACTCGTCTTATTAAATTTGATGATCTAAAGAAGAAAAAAATTCAGTGATATGGTGATATTTTTAGAATCGTGCAAATAGTTAATGATAAGTCGCAAGTTAGGCAGCTTATATAAATTAACGAGAACAATCAGATCTCTTGAGGAACAACACTTCTCGGATATCCGTCGAAAAGTCTCAAAAGAGGTCTCAACAATCTCCAAAGAGGTAAATCGTCCGATCTTACGTTCTTTGGATGCATGGCTCTCTCGTTATGAGCGCTGGCGAAAAAGAATTCGGGATGAAAAGGAGATATGAACCGATCGGGATTCCTTATTTCCTCCCTTATTTATTCAACAATGTTACATATCCGTACGCAGACCGTGCCTGAATATTTTAGTGGGGAACTGTGTTATGTGTATCGGCACCTCAGGTATCACGACTTGGAGTTTGACGATCGTGTTGATCGTAAAAATTGTCGGGAAGGTATCGAAGTCGTTCACAAGGGGTCCCTCGCCGCTGAGCTTTTGCTCCCACTTAAAAGTGTATGATAAAAGCTGAAGTGAGCGCGAAAGAGAAAACATTGGCTGTAACTTAATTTTTCTTATCGACCCTTTGACCAGCATAACCGATAGAAGCTTGAAAAGATTTGTGTGTTAATAATTCACGTATGTGTCATTCCAACTTTATGTGAAACATTATGGAAATGGCAGAGAGAGAGAGAGAGAAAGAGAGACTAATTTATTGAAACTGAATAAAAATATTTCACTTTTATTCTTTGGGAATGGCAGAATATATTCTGATTTAGGACGGTAATACTTATATTTTCAAGTAAAAAGATCGCGACTTTAAGTGATAGAAGTGTCGTCTCTTTTAATTTCAAGTATTCCTCAGTTTTACGTTAATTATTGGAAGAAAGAAAGAGAGAGAGAGAGAGAGAGAGAGAGAGAGTCGTGGCGTATTGTAAAATCCTTGCAAGCCCAAGAATACAGAGCAGCAAGTCTAAAAATAAATATTCAGATGATTAAATAGATTTCGATAACTCGGCTCGCAGCAGCCTGATTAACTGACAATTTTTGCGACGAAATAGAACAAAAGAATCTCCAGATACGAGAGGGAAATTATAAAATCGATAGAATCTCGGTGAAGGCTCACTCGGGCAGCTTTAACTCTCTTTTCTTACTCGAGACTCGCCCTTTTCTTATTCCATCTTTCCCCCTGTTCTTTTATTAACGAGTAATCGCGGCCAGCCGAGACGAGATACCCTTTTTATTTGCCGGCAAATGTGTGGGTTATACACGAGCGAATGGTGTGTGGTGTGTACATATATATTTATCCCGACATACATTGTGCGTTGTGAATAATATTACGTTGCGTCGCCTATTATTTCCTTATGAATTACGTTGTTTATCTTCCGTACCATGATACCTCAATTTTAATATAAAACGTTCGAAATCTAATGTTTAAAATGCAGGATAAAATATCAATAGCGGCATCACTCACTGAAATTTAGCGTTTTTTTTTCCACATAAAATTAATGGATACGGACAAATCCAAACACTTCTGTGGTCACATTTCGTAAATATTAATAAGGGCGATAATTTGAATCGATCACAAACACACGCGAAATTATTCACTGCGCGACGCGTATTGATTACATGTAATTTTAATTTTATACTTCGCCCGGCAACAATTTAACAGATATATGTCAACAATTTTATTTGCCAACGATACTATTTTGTTTGTTAAAGTATCCCCCGTAGCAAAACATGCGTGAGAAGAATATTCATATTCTAGACCTCTATCTCCATCTCTATCACATCATGGAGAATATAATTACACTCCAACCACCTAGGTAAATCCTTTGCATGATGAGATATCTAACCTCTCCTCCTCTCCCCCCTTCTCTCTCGACAGGTTCCTTTAATCTACGAATACCACTTCGAATATTATCACTCCTCGAATATTATCAACTTCCTCTCCCTCCCTCTCTCTCTCTCTCTTTTCGACGGATCTACGAGTCAGACAAGTGATCGACGATGGTCGATCGCATCTCGCCTCCGGTACCAAGTCACGGCCTCGTAGCCTCGTCCGCGTCCTGCAGGTGTGGACATCGGCTACGAGGAGAGCGGTCGACGTTCTCGCCCCTTCCCCTGCCCACCCGCCTACCGTGGCGCTCCGTCCGCTTTTTCTCTCTTTCCTTCGCGCAGGGTGGACACACGCTCGACCCTCGTCGCCGTCCCCACGAATTCCAGGGATCAATGCGTCGGTGCACCAAAACGCCTGCGCCACCTCCCCCTCCACCTCACCCCTTCATCCCCTCTTATCATCCCCTCCACGCCCGTACCACCCAGCAGCAGCAAGCAGCAGCAGCGGCGGCGGCGACGGCGCTATCACAATCAGGATATCACCGTCACCACGAGCTCCGAGACACCCTACTTCCCACGCCGGTGCTGCGGCGCTGGCTGGTGTAGCTCGGCGGTGGTGGTCTAGTCATGCCGGTGTAACCGCTCGTGTGCCGCGGGAGTCTACCCTCTTCCACCGTAGGCAGAGCCCGCCACCTTGCGTTCCGCGATCTACTCACACCCGGGTACTCGGAGAGTAGTACCCCCTCCCCCCCCCCTGCCGCCGTGTCCTCCGGTGCTCCCACCCCGGCGGTAGCGCTCCCTCCCGCGTGCGCCGTCGCCCGACCCTCGGAAATTCTGAAAGCGGTTCGCGCCTGTGCAACGTGGGGGTGGCGAGGGACCGAAAATCGAGGTGAAAGGAAACTCCGCGGATCCGGCCTAAGGGTCTCTCCTAGGGCTGATGCGTGTCGGCCGTGCCCTCTCGCGTGTGCGTTCTGCGAGCGCGAAAAATTGATATACACGCGCGCGCGCGTCTTTCTACGTGCACACACACTCACTCACACACGCACATACGTGTGTACACACAAACACATACACACATACACACACACACACATACACATATATACACACATACACAGAGGCACGCGCGTCACGTACACGCGTGGATAACGCGCGCGTAGAAAGATTTTCACTGCCTCGGGCGATCGCCCTCCTCTCGCTCGCTCTCGGTGCGCCCGTCGGTAATCGCGCGCCCCTCGCCGATCCCAAGGAAGGAAGGGCGTCCGCGCGAATCGGTAACCGGGAACGCGCTTCCTCGGAGTACGCGACTACGCGGTGGTGACGTTCGATCGCGCGGCCACTTCCTCGAGTGACACACTTTCGACCGCGCGAGAGAAACGAAACTCTCTCTCTCTCTTTCTGCTCGGCGGGCAGCAGGAGGTGGCGGACTGTGCGGAATAGTGTGATTAACCTCGAGTGCACGCCAACGCAACCTGCGAGGACGCAGGCAGGTGGGAGCCTTGCAGTGTGACATGTCAGTGCGTGGTCGGGCGTAGTGACCGTTCGAGCGTCGAGTTTCATCGCCAGTGCGAGCCCGCGGCTCCGATCGGTACGTCATCGCAGAGGTCCGTCGCGCGCGTATCAATCGGCGGATCGCGTTCGAGTGCGGGCTGACTAGCCGCGCGCCGAGAGTGGTCTTATTCGCCGCCGTGTGACTCGTGCGAGCTTACACCCGCGCGTTCCACAGACCCGGAGGATCCCCAGGTGCGACGAGGGGCATCATGTGTCCCCGATTGCAGCCCTCCGATTGAGTCGGCGATTCGGTGTCGCGCGATCGGCACCGACACGCGCGTGTGTGTTGTGCCGCGACCAGCCCCGGTCGTACCGCATCCGAAGGCATCCCTCGCCGTGACGCGAGGAGGTGATCTCGCGGAGGGCCAGCCGTGTACCACCACATTCCCGCGCTGCAAGTGAGTCTTGAATCGCTGCAATTCTGTCTCGCCGCCGCGTTTGCTCGCCGTCTCCTCCCGGCCGCGCGAATCGTCGGGTCGGTGTAGCGCCGATGTCGCGCCGAAGGAGCGCGAAATCGATGGGGATCGTTCCTCCTCTCGGTAGAGTCCTCGGCTGAATCGATTGTCGTAGAATCGCCTGGAACAATGCGCGTCGAACGATTTTCAATAGCATCGTTCGAGTAAATAGGGAGGATTGTAGGTCAGTTATGTGTGTCTTGGTCATGTACGGTCTTATCGAGTGTGTGTCTTCTCGGTTAGATTTGGCGGATCAGCAGGTCACTTCTGTGCGCACAGAGTTTCCCCGGATTATTGCCATTTTCCATTTTCACTCGCTGTTCTTTCGATCAACTTAAAGTCGCTTCTGCTGTAACAAGAGTGACGGAGGCTCGACGGTTCCGGAATGATGAATGACGAATTATGAAGCTATACTTGCTACTTAGCATAATGTTTATAGAAAAAAATCGAATCTTCGGATCGATCACGGGTATGTTCGTAGATGTAATGGCCGCGGTTCTCAAGTGCTCCGCGGATAGGTTATTGTATTCTCCCGTGCGGAAGAGACGATTTCGTTCGAAATCGCACCGTCATTCGATCATTCGCATACATCAATCGTTACAAACGCATCAATTTCAAGTGAAGAGATATAGAACGCGACGAGATGTTCATGCATAATGTAACGAAAGAAGTGTGTCGCACAAGTTTCTAAACTACCGCTACACACTCCTTCTTTACGCGCACCCAAGGCAAGTAAAAATCGCAAATCGTCGGATAGGGACCGCGGCGGAGCGTAAGGAAATGATAAAAATACCCGCCTCATCGGGCATCAATCTTTAATCAGCACAAGCGAGGCTGTCAACTCCGGTTCTACTTTAAGCCGTAAGTGATCGTCGCCGAACGGCGTGCGGGTGGGAGCCAATTTTGTCGCTCGCGATTTCGTCGTGAAACTATTTCGCCACGGGGCACATTCCGCAACGGATCCGTAATTGCAGCGAGTGTCTCGCGAGCCGCGGTTATTTAATGGAAAGCAATTGTCCCTGCCATTTCTCGACTCGGATTGTCGAAAGGCCCTCGACCGTCGTCTCGTCTCGGCCGCTCGGCGAACGGCGATTTGTCACGATTAAAATCTCGAGGGGAATTCCCGTCTAATTCCGGCTCGCTATAAACTCGATCAACGAAACGCGAAACCCTAAATTCCCCGCGCACATCCGCGAATATGGGCGAATTACAAAGCTTTCTGCCGATGCGCGCGGCGCGCATCGTATTATCAAGGCTTCCGGGATCGAGCCCGCTTGTTGTTCTATCGCGAAATTCATTGTGAATCGTGTGCGTTAATCTCTTGTATTAGCACTCGCGGATTACAGAAACCCCGCAAAATCATTATCTACGACTATTGTTAGTATAACTAACGCATCCGGCGTCGGTTTCTCCGTGAAATTTTTCGCTCTCTGTCTCTCTGTCTCTCTCTCTCTCTCTTAACTAGTGTTGAAACGTATTCTACAATCGTATCACCTCGGAGCACGACGTGTATCTAATTAAGCGAGTTACGCAAATTGTACATGGCATGAATTGTGCGAAAAGCTCGTTCATTTCTCGGAACCCAAGGCCACTTAGATCGCTATAAATCCTGACTATACGAGTGGATAAGCCTCCAACACGGCGCGTGACGTGCCATTGATCATCGCCCAGGCATCGTTCGCGTGGTTAAGGTCTTAATGTTTCCCCGGTGTTGCGTTGATTTTACTGTTATTAAGCCGATGCGCGCGCGCGAATAACGCGACGAGATAAGCGGCCACTCGCTTGCGTTTATTAGTTCCCGGCTAATTATTACTTATTATTCCTTCCCCACGACAGGGACGCTTTGTCCATAACAAAACCGCAAACAGCGTTGCCCGCGATGTAACACGTATGTATATCATTTGTTTTTCGGCGCAATTTCCACACGCGGAAATTCCCCGTTTTCATCTGATATTCCAGTTGTCGTTTATCTTTTCGGAATAAATTGAATGATTTAATAAATTACACGTCAGATACAATATTCTCCCCCCCCCCAACATTTTCATAAATTAGACGTGTAACGCGCGTATGCTTTGTCCTATTTATATAAAATAACGAAATCGTAACTGGAATCGAAACGCGGAAATTCGATATGTCGTGCAACAGAGAGTTTGACACGTGACTCTTATTAGATCGAAAGGAACCGGACCTTGAAAATTTAAAATGCGCCTTAACGCTTTGACCACTGTCACGTATACGCGACTTCATTTTTGCCAGCGACTATCAACTTGTAAAGTAATATTTTTCGATAATCATAGTTCACATTTGTGATATTATGAAAACCATTTGTATATAAGGAAGGTGTTTGTCTAAAGATTTAGACGCCGTCTGAATCTCTCGAAATCTGTCGGCGGCAGTTGGACATTTTCTCCGAAGTGAGCGCGGCCGTTAAAGTGTCAATAACCAAGTTATGAAAAGTTACTCCCTTAACACGTTAGCTATCGCATCACCAAGGCATTTTATTTAATAAGGAAAAATTTTATTATAGTTATTAAAAGAATATATTTAATAATACGAAGCGTCGTGCGAAGCGTCACGCGAACATAAATTTTGGTGGTCAACTTGTTAAAGCGAATCAGTGATAATGTTTCTGATCAAATCGGTAAAATATATTCCACCGATATCATCGAACGCTCACTGATTTTCAGTGAAAACACTCCCACCTAAGTTCTCTTACAATCTCACACCTCATTGATTTCGGCTAGTGAAAGTAAAATTTCACTGCACCGTCTGTAATATTCCATTGGCTGCTGTTAACTAAATCTTCTCAGCGAGATTTTACTGATTGCGGTACTGTACTTACAAAACCAGTGAACTGAATTTTCACTGTTTTTCAACACGATAACACACTGATTCCGGTTTAGGGAGTCCATTGACGAGCAAAAATGCACAACCTTCGGCGGATCTTGAACAGAGTCGAACACGCTCTCGTCAAGTTTGAATCCGAGTGTCTATCGTGCCGCTACCATCGCGATTCCTCTCGCGCTATTTGGTGCCAGCCATTGTAAGACTTCGGAGAGAGCGTCGCATCGACTCTCGAAACCCCTGTCGAAAATCCGGTTGCACGAGTGGCGCGAAACGCGCGCACCATGCAAGCAGCTCGCTCCTCTCAACCGCTCAACTTCACTGCATCGTCCTTTGTGAGACGCGGTTTGTTCTTAATTTAATTTATTGTACTATCTGTCACGATTGTGGAGTTTCCGGCTGTACTCGGTCGAGTCGGGTCACTATAAATTCCGACCGTACGAGCGGAGTGAGAGCTTTCGTACCGGCGTGTGATGCGCCATTGATCATAGAGTAGACACACGTAGCTCGCGTGGCTGAGGGCTCGAGGCTTCGATGTAGTTACGTTAATTTTACGAGCCGCCCCAGTTTTCCACCCCCTCGGCGTTTTACTCTCCTGGGCATGGCAACGCCGCCAGGAAATTACGTACGATGGTGTGTCGACGAGTGATCTCCTCTCTTCTTCTTCTCCTCCTCTCTCTTCGCTCTTCTCTCTCTTTTCCCTCTCCCTTTTATACACACACTCACACACACACATACTCTCTCTCTCTCTCTCTGTCTACTGCTCAAGCTGGATGTACCCTGTCTCTTTACTCGAGACCCACTGTTAGTCAATATCAAGCGCTACAGTGTGTCTACTTGAGAAGATCGTCTTTTCTCATAATCCGTAAATCTTCGGTGCCCTCGTGTATTACGTTACGTTTATACGGGATTTTTCAATATTTTTACGCAGCATTCTACATACGTTCTACGTCTGATCGTTTTAAGCTGCGAAACAACTTAAACTATCGCTCTCCTCTTCGCTATAACGAACATCCTGCGATCGATATCATTTTTCCGGCAATCAATATGTTTACATGCATCAGTTGTATCTTGCGCACATATCCTTTGCGTGTGTGTGTGTAAATAAGTTAATTATATATATTTTATATATATATATATATATATATATATATTGTATCATTTACGGAGTATATTATTTAGTTTATCATCTTCCATGATTACATCGTTTTGGAACTTATGGAAAATATTTACCGTGGAAATTAAATGTTTACTTTGTTCCGTGCGTTCGCGTATGCATTTCTCGCTATTATATTTCAATATATATTTTTGATATTGACAGCGGTATTACAAGAGCAAACGCACGTGGTATGCGCGCTCCCTCGCTCGCTCGTTCGCACGCATTTAACGGGGGAGCAATTTAATATATGAAAATAATGTCCTGTGTATCTCGCTCTCTCTCTCACGCGTGCGCGCGCGCAAGCGGGCACGTATGTACATATAATCTCGACCGATACGCCCGACGGAAATTGTTTACACAGCCGCTGTCATCGAAATCAAGCTGTCTATCTCTCTTGCGTAATCTCCGCGCCGTGCACTTAGGAGTTTCCAATTTCCGTTACCGGTACTTACACGCTGTTTCTCCACTTTGCTTTTACATAATACGGTATACTTTGCGTAGTTGCGCAAGCTACACTCGCCCGAGGACGCGCGCAGACAAGAAGGTCCTGTCTATACCCGCATCTTATCCGCCGCCGTCTTACGTTTTTGCCCGCGATATCGACCTGTCATTCCTACCGAAGTTGACTCTCTCGCGACAAGACAATGAACGTCTCTCTCTCTCTCTCTCTCTCTCCTCTTCCTCCTATATGTCGCGTTCCACGTCTTTTCCACCTCTCCTTTCCCACGATTCTCTTCCGTCCCGTCCTGCGGGTCCCTTTGTCTCCGTTCGCTCTGCACGATCCTTTCTCACCTTCGTGCCACAAGTCGAATGAGAGCAAATTAGATATCCATTAACGTCGGCTAGCCGAGTTCGAAGTCTTAATTGCAGTCACCCTACGTGTTTGCTCACAGGCACGCGCGGCTAACGCGCGTTTTACTCGCGCTACAAGCGATTTAACG